CAGGCTCAGCGGCCATGGCTCACGGGCCCCAGCCGCTCCGCGGCATGTGGGATCTTCCCAGACTGGGGCACGAACCCATGTCCCCTGCATCGGCAGGCGGACTCTCAACCACTGCGCCACCAGGGAAGCCCAGGTGGGATACTATTAAGTGCTAAGGAGGAAAAAAAAATTTTCTAAGCTGAATAGGAGGATAAAGTGTGTGTGTGTGTGTGTGTGTGTGTAGGATTTGTAATTGTGTGTCCTCACAGAGAATGTGATATTAGATTCACCTGAAATATGTGAGGAAGCCACACCTGTGAATAGCCTGGGGCAGAACATTACAGGCATAAGGAAAGCAGATGCAAAGGTCCTGAGGTGGGAGTGGACACGGTATTCCAGAAACAGCCCTAGTGCTGATAAGAAAGAGGACAGGGGATGAACCAGAGAGGTGGTGAGGGGCCAGATAAGGTGGCACGTTGTGGACAATTATGATGAATTTGACTTTCACTAGGCATGAGATGAGAAGCTGTTTGATTTAGTCTAGTATTCTCATTTTACAGATGAAATTTAGGACAGAGAAATCAAATCAGGCATCCATGGTTATTCAGCATGATAGTGCCAGAGCCGGGTTGGGAACCTGCCTCCTAATGGCCCAGACTTCCACGTGCAGTGGTTTAAGAGGAAGCCAAGTGCTGGGGGCTCCTCCAGCAGCTGTTTGGTTGTTCCCCCAGTGTGAACTACCTACCTGTAGAGGCCCCACAGCAAACACAAGAAAGGATCAGACCTCTGAACTCAGAGGAGTCCTCTGCCCAAAATGCCTTCCTTTGTTTGAGTATAGAGATAAATCCTTGGATTTTCCCAGTGGTTACATGCAAGAATCTACAATCTTGTAAAGCCTCCCTACGTTCATTTCTAAGTTAATTGGATATAGTTAACGTCCAATTCCTATAGTCCCAAATGTTTGATCATAGTTTTCAGTATCACACATCTCCATAAACGTTAGTAAGATGGCGTATTACATGTTACTTAAAATGAATTTGAAACAGAATTACCAGCTGAGGAGAGAGCAAATGGTTACCATAAAATACAGTTTGACGGACAAATTTTGCCCAACATTCTTGCTTTACTGTGAGCCAATTCAAGCTTTTTTTTTTTTCTGTCTATCTCCTTTAGATCTCATGACAGATGTCCTCTGGACACAGGCCAAACCCTCTAATCTCACTTTCTGATGAAGGTCAGACTAGTGCTAAGTCTAGAGAAGAATGGCTTTGTGCTGTCGTCCGCATCACTCATGTCCTTTAATCACCTCACGGTGGCTGGCCTGTATCTTGTGCACAAAGCAACATGAGGTCTTTGCATAAGGTTGTCGCATCTTGTGGAGAGAACTAACTCATCCCTATCTCTTGCCCCTTCTTTCCTCTCCTTTCCCCCTAGAGCATAGCTCCCACTATAGGTAATGTGAGATTTATATCATCATCTTATTTTGCATTTATATTTGTTTGCATAGTACTTTCTCTCTCACTTTCTCTCTCTCTCTTTCTCTCTCTCTCTCTGGGTTTTTTTGTTTGTGTGTTTTTTGCCAAACAAGGTAATTTCATGTGTTCATTTGTGTACATTGTCTTTAAATGAGCTCTGCAACCCCACTGCCATTAGCATTGCGTTCTTTGGAATCCTTTCAGTGGTTAAAGTCTTTGTCTCCCCCTGGAGCCAGAGGGCACGAACCCCTGTGGTCCTTTGATTCCTGGTCTTGAGGAGAGTAATGCTCCTAGTGGAGCTGGCTTTGGTGAGAACCTGAGGAGTGCTTGCTGGAGGAGATGCCATTATCAAAACTCAGGATAACAAAGCAAATGCAGAAATGCAGATATTTTTGTGGAGGTTGCTAGGAGCAGTAAGTGGGCCTTAAGAAAACTTGACAAGAACCATTTCTACATTTCTGGCTTATGAACAAGTATTTGCTGCACGTGGGTGACAGAGAATGAGAGTGCTGCGTCAAAGGTGCCTTGAAAGAAAACCTAATTAAAAACTTAGCTGATTTCTCCAGTTTCCAGAAAGTCCTTCTGTTGGAATTTAGTGTTTCAGCTGTAAGGCTGCAGTGGAAAGCTAAGTGTTTTAGCTGTGTGCTGTGCGTGTTTGTAACAAGCAGCCCCAAATGGACTTTGAGCACATCCGAAGGCAAAAATCTGGCCTGACCTTATTAGGCCAGTGTTTTCCATTGTTGATCTGCCCCTTCTCTGCTATTTAACAACTTCTTAGCCTTCAAGGAATGTGTCCCTGAGCTTCTCACCATACCCTTAGCTCCTGGGAGAAATTCCAAAGTAGGCCTGACCTGACTCTAGATTGGGATCTGGAACTTTTATACACACACCTTCCCAGTTCCTTGTCCTGCCTGCCTTCCAATTCTCGCTCTTTCAGCCCCTGTGAGGAAG